GATCATTCACAAACTGATGGGGTTGTAATTCGAAGTATAGTGAAAACTGGAGTAGAAAACCCCAGCAGGCGGACGCCTCACCGGAGTAGGTCACGGGTTTGGCCATGGGACATGCAGAGGCCGATGGCATGACGGTAGGAGGCTGAAGGGATTCACGGAGTGCTTGAACCAGTTCGGTGAAGGGATCTGGGGTGAGTGGTCTCTGTGCCTCCATAGCAAGCTTCAATCCATTAATTTTCACTTCTGTTTTGATGGACTGGTCTTCTGTCACGGCTGGATAGAGAGGCATACACAGGAAGAACGATTCAGAGCTTCTTTCTTAACACAAACTTAAGGAGAGCTTCAAACGGTAAGTTTTAAAACTGAAACATAACTTTAGCTCTTGAAACTGAAGTGTAACAGTCCTTATCTTAATCCTCTTTAGGAAGATCCAACAAGACGGCGGGAGACACAGAGCCCCGGAGATCCAGAGCGATGTGGAGAGGCATGAGGTAAGGTATGCAATCTTGAGACCAGTCAATGAGATACTGAGGTGAGTGAACAGATATAGTGCTCCGGTAAGTGACATTAGGTGTTCGTAATTAGTAATCTGGTGATTGTGAACGGGTGTAGGTGGCTACACTCGTTCAGGTAAGTAAGGAGGTAAGTTTTGGACCCAAATTCCAATGTGTGTTATGTCTTTAGCAAGCAAACTTAACTAACCACCCATTATACAGACATTGATACAGCAGCTAAAAGTCCAGTGTTTTGGAAGATGGATTCATGGTGTACTTGCTAATTGAAAAAAAAAAAGTTACACAGTGTACCTTTAATACATAGATTTTATTTTATTTTTTTATCAAGAGAGAAACTTCAGAAGTAAAAGACATACATAACTTATCCATTTGTTTTACATATAATCATACTGTAACAACTGAGATATTGGAGATATTTTTTTTTGTAGAAAGTGTCAGTAATTAAACCAGACAGAGAGACAGATTGTAAGCAAATTTAGACTAATGAACTGCATTGTTTGGTGAAAGAAGTGTTTATTTCAACCAAAGCATTTATTATTAATATTTGTAGATTTTTGTTGAAAATTGGTGTATTTTATCATATTGCCACAAACTGCAAAAAAAAAAAAAGTTTAATCAAAAGACAGGAACAAGCTATCAGTGATTGTATCAGTAGGGAAAGGGAGTGTGAGATAGAAAACAGAATATAAAGCAATAAACTAATAGCATGGCAAACAGAAGAGCTGTAGGATTAAAATTAGACACACATAGACTCTTTTGAAGCGAGGAAGACAGAGAAGGTGAGTGCATCTGTACAGAGAGAGACTATGAAGAGATGTTCAATCTTCATTAAACCTCTATGAATCATCTACTACAGATCAGTCATGCATTATACAAAAAAACATTCAACATCAGTTTATGCAT